TGCCTGCCATGCAGTCGGGCCCATGGACAAAGGCCAGGGTGACTTCACATGGCTCCGAGGGTTGCAGAAGGTGACAGCTCTGTGCATGGTGACCAGACCAGGCTCCCATGGGGGTAAGCAGAGGTCAAGGCGAGGTCTCCCATTGACAGAGGCTTGAGAACCACTGCAGCATCCAGGGGAGCAGGGTGTGCCAGAGGAAAGCCACCTCTTCTCTATGACCCAGTGATAGCACTGTCAGTAACTATACAGAACCAGCACTTGCTGCATACGGGCCACCTGCCCATGCAACTCATTAGCTTCACCCACCTTCTGGGCCCCAAGGGGTATGATTCCCAGTACCAGCGAAACTGAGGCCGTGGGCAGGGGAAGTGGCAGACAAGATGGCTGTTCAAGGCCAAGTCTGGGGTCCTCAGTGTTACTCACAGAGGCCTCTGGGCCATGACCTGTGCTCAGGGCTCCAGAGCATGTGTGCCTGTGTCCTGGCCAGGCCTCCACTGAGTTCCTGTGTGGACAGATGCATGCTCTGCAGGCTGGAAACACAGCTCAAGGCCTCAGGACGGTCAGTAGAGTGCCGACACCCCAGCTCCAGCCCGGCAGGCCAGGTGGGCAAAGCCTGAGCCCAGGAAGGAAGCCCGTCCAGGGCAAGGCCTGAGCTTCTGGGAGCTGTGCCAGGACTCGGCCTTGCATTCTAATCAGCTACGTCCAGCCCCGTACTCTGGCCCTGGGCCTCAGCACTCATGGGGCACACTTGAGAGTAGATCCACTGTCCCCCTCTCCAGCTGTGTCCTAGCCACACAGAAGCCAGTGTGGCCTTGGACAGAGCTGCATCCTGGTCCACCCTGAGGCCATCCCCAGCCCACCAGGGAAGAAGTTGCCACTGCCATGAGGCCACTTAGCAAAAACACGTATGTCTCAAGATAAAAAATTAACTGGGGATGTAGTTTGGTGTGAATCCCCAATACAAAAATAAAACAAAAAAGAAAAAGAGGTGCTCAGTCATTGAGCAAGCAAGGCTGCCCAAGGCAACAGGACAACTCCCTACCTCTACCCCTGGGGAAACTGAGGCACACGTCCTACAACTAGCAAAAAAACTGGGTGCAAGACAAACCTACATAGCATGACCCAAGAATGATTATGTCCATGAAGTCCTAAACCTTCAACTCAGGGAAGGTGACCTTATTTGGAAATGTAAGTCTTTGGCAAGTAATTAAGTTACAGATCTCCGGATGATGACAGCTGCATTGAGACTATGCCCGAAAGCCAATTCCGGGGTCATAAAAAAGAAAAAAAGAGAGCCAAAAATGTTGACATAGGTCTGTGATCCCAGCACTCTGCAAGGCTGAGGCAGGAGGATTCACTGTGAATTCACCAGTGTGTACTACATAGTGAGAATCTGTCTCAAAAAATAATAATAACAAGGGTGGGTAAATTACTTTGGTGCAAAAGCCCTGAGTTAATCCTAGTACAGTACTGAAAAAAAAACAGACACACACAAAAAAGATGTCACGAAGACAAAGTCAGAGACTGTAGTGTGCTGCACCAGAGCCAAAGGGTACTGGAAGAGGCCAGGGAGCAGCGCCCCTGCCCACACCTTGACTCCTGAGCTGACAGAGAACACAGCCCTGCTCTTTAAAGTCACCAAGGCTGTAACAGTGCAGTTGTGGGCAATTAATGCACCCAGCGCTGGCTGCCTCCAGAGCCCACCCCTTAACCCCACGCCAATGCTACTTATGCACAGAGGGAGGAACATTACTTCCCACCCCAGGACTATATTATCCAGAACTGAGGATTTCCTTTTGAGAAATATGGACTGCTCCTCTTTGTAATTCTTCCATTTCCGAACTACCTCTCACAGAAGTCATGTGTATGCCCTTAACACTCATGATTATCATTTTCTTGCTTTATCTTTTGAGGTGCTGGGGGCAGACGGACAGTGCTCATGATTACCAACAAAACAGAAACCACAGGATGTAATAAAAAAGTCTCCTGCAACAAGCTACTAAGAATCCCAGAAAGAGAAGGGGGGTATTTGGGGACCGTATAAATTTCAAGATGCTCTTAAGATGTTTTTTAAAAATTCATTTTAAGAAGAAAACCAACTCTCCTAGAAGTCTTTTGAAAAAAAGCCCAGGAAATGCTCCTCCTGTTGGTCATAAGAATGGGCTTGTTGGGGCTGGGGATTTAGCTCAGCGGCATAAGCACCTGCCTTGCAAGCAGGCGGTCGTGAGTTCGATCCCTGGTACCGAGAAAAATGAAAAAGACAAAAAAAAAAAAAAAAAAAAAAAAAAAAAAGAATGGGCTTGCTTAGGACACCGGGTCCTGAGCTCCCCATCCTCAGGCCTTCCCTGCGGGAAGAGGCCCCTACTTCCTTCTCTTTATTTGGCTCAAGACCAGCCCTGTCCCAGCCCCTAAAGATGTCACACATAGGGGACAGATGCACTCCTTTAGCCTGGATTTTGACAGTCAAGGTGTGGAGGGAACCCCATGTGACCCGACTGCTCCCCACACTGCCCTCAAGAACACCCGGTACCCAAAGTGGCAAAAAATTCCCACGGGACCAAAGCCTGGAAAGGCCTCCTCCGAGGCTCCCCCAGTGTCCCTACAGGAAACCCCAGGGGACAAAACCGAGTGAAACAGAATAGCAAAATGTGAATGAGGAATCAGAGGAGACTAGCGAGAGTAACAAGAGAAAGAAAAAGGATGGGCTACAAACACTGCGGTGGGGGAGACAAGAAAGGAGGAACGGAACTTGGCAGACACGTTTTGAGATTTTTTTCCCCTCCCCACCGAAATGTCAGTTTAAAAGCTGCTTCAGAGAAGGTAACCAGCTTCTCACATCCCCAAAAAGGAGACAGGAGTCGCGTGGCGGCGCGGGAGGTGGCTGTGCTGCTACCTCCGACTTCCACGCCGGCCATCAGGGCGTGGGGACCCCTCCGGGCGCCTCGCATTACCCTCGCGGGGACCCCTGTGCCCAGCTCTCCAACTTTCCCATTCGGGGGGCCCCAAGCTAAAAGCCAACCATCTAAAGGTGGGGGCGCCCTAGATGGCCAGAGGCGCCCATCCCGGGCGGCCACGCCCGCTCCCCGGTGTCCCCTGGCCCGGCTTCCTCCGCACCCCGTTTCCCGCGCAGCCCCCTATTTCCTGCCCACGGCCCCCTCCCCAATCTCAGGCCCAGCACTGCCGAGGCGCGCGGCCCTCCGCCCTCCGCGTGCGCCCGCTCTGCCTCTGTGTCCCCGGGACCCGGCGCTCCGCACCCCGCACCCCGCACCCCGGCCCGGCCCGGCCCGCCCCTCCCCCGCCGCCGGCCTCGTGCGCAGCCCCGCGGCCCGGCCCCGCACTCACGGCTGTACAGGGCGATGCCCGCCGCGTCCGGGCCGGCCCGCACCTCGAGGCGCAGCGCCTGCTGCTCCGCGTGCCGCTGGATCTCGCCGTTCGCGTCGCCGATGGTGAGGAGGCGGGCGCCGGGGAACACGGACACCGCCGCGCAGGGCACCGCGACGCCCGGGCCCGCCGCGCCCGCGCCCCCTGTGCCCGGCCCCACCGCCGCCGCCGCCGCCGCTGCCATCTTAGATCCGGCTCCAGGCCCCACCGTCACCGCCGCCACACCGCGCCCGGGCCCAGGCCGCCGCCGCCGCCGCCGCCGCCGCTGCCGCGCAGGCCGAGGCCGAGGCCGAGCCGGGCAGCGCCGCCTGCCGGCCACGCGCCGCCTCGCCGCCGCGGCCCGGCCCGGTAGAGCAGCGCACCCTGCTGGCGGCCTTCGGCGCGGGGAGCGAGGGAGCGCGCCGCGGAGGCGGGGCCCAAGCCGCCCCACGCGAACTGTCGCCGCTTTGTGAGGTGGCTGCGCGGCGCGGGAGGGAGCGTGCGTCAGGGGCGGCGCCTGCCCGCGCGGAGGAACCTGGACCCCGCCCCCAGACCGGCGCCGCGCGAATGGCCGCGCTTTATAAGGCGGTGAGGCGGGTCAGGGAGGGCAGGGGCGGGGCTGCAGGTAGGGGGCGGTGCCGGGCCGCGTGGGCATAAGCCCCGCCCCCAGGCCGCTGCGGCTCGAACGGCCACTCTTTGTGGGGTGGGTGGTGCGACAGATGAGGGTGAGGGGGGAGCGGCGCCACGGGGCGGTGCTCGGCTGCGCGGACTCGCCTGGGCCCCGCCTTGCTCAAGAGGCCCGTCTTTGTGAGACTGCTTCCCGGCCCGCGCGACGAGAGGGAGGGGCCAGCTGGCCGCCCACAGTTGGGACACGCCCCCAGGCTGGGCTCCGCCCTTGGGCCCGCCCGGCTTTGTGAGCGGTGGGGAAGAGGCGGGACTCTCTTGGCGAAGCCCCGCCCCATTCCTACTCCCACTGGGACTCGCTGTGGTCCCCCCGCCCGCTCAGGGGGCGTGGCCACGGCTAGGTACACGCCCCGTCGTGACTCCACCCCCGCCCTGGGAAAGCGGCCCCGGCGAGGTGCCCCCCTGTGTGCTGAGCCTGAACCCCAGCATCCACCTGCCCAACAGTCCCTCCTACTGCGCCGCCCTCTTCCCCCGTTACTCCCCCCATTTGTCCTACAGCAACGAAATCCCTCCTGTGCCCTTTGGGGGACCCACCCAGCAGCCTCTGCCCTTCTCCCCACCTTCTTCCCAGGACCTCGCTGTGTTCCACTCTTCCCCACACCCCTTGCAGCCACTGCAGCTCCTCACAGAGCGCCCCACGTGGCCCTTCCCCACTCCGGCCCCCCTGAGATTGGGGTCCCCCCAAACGTAGTGATTTCATCCCACTCAGCCCCCAGCAGGGGCACCCAGCGGGTCTCAGCTCCAAGGATTTACCACCCACCAGGCCTCCCCGTGACAGCCCAGCAGGTGTTACAATAACTCAGGCCTGGGGGTGTCGGGACATAGAACACCCCAAAACCTGTGCTCAAACAGCTAGCAGGGGCCAGGTCAGATGCAGCTGGGGAGGAAGGAGCACGGGAAAGGGTGGGTGTGTGGACCCCTGAGGCCGGCTGAGACCAAGCAGCAAGCTGGAGGAACTCTTTCTCTGATTCTTTTTTCTTTTTTCTTTCTTTTTTTTCTTAATTTTCTTGAAACAGGGTCTCACTGTGTGGCCCAGGCTGGCCTTCAACTCACAGCAATACTCCTGCTTCAGCCTCCCAAGAGCGGGGATGACAGGCACGGGCCTCCACCCCTGGCTCTCTGGTGGTCTTGAGAAATTGGGGGTCCACGGAGGGGTTCCTTGCGTTCCGGCCGACCTCCAGGCCACACACCTTCACCCCTCTCCCACACTTCTGGGAGGAAGGTCCTTTGGTCCCCTCCATCCCCCAGTTTGATTCCCTGAGAAAGCAGCGGCTGGGTGGGGACTGCTTCTCCCCGTACCAGGAGGACCTGAGCCCCCGAAAGCCTCCAGGCCGCTTGAGACAGTGGGCTGAATGGAGGCCTCCCCTTCCTCAGCCTCACTGGCAGCCCCGGAAGGTGCTGAAGTCCGGGGGCTCCGGCGAGGAGGACGTGGAGGTCGGCCTCTTGCGTGGCCCGGCGCTGCCTGGGCAGGCATCCAGGGTGGCCGCTGGGTCTTCCTCGGATGTCGTCCTCTTCACCTATGGAAGAAAAAGAGAACTAGGTGAACGGGGAGGTCAGGACCCAGGGTTTCCTCATGTTCTGGGGACCCCTCAGCCCATCAGATGTCTTACCATCCTCTATTCCCCATAGCAATTATTTTTTGTCTTTTTGAGACAGGTTTCCCTACACAGTTCAGGCTGGCCTTGAATTGTGTTTGTAACCCAGACTGGCCTCAACTTGAGAGGTGACCCTCCTGTCTCAGCCTCCTGAGTGAAGGGCTTACATAAAAAACACCGCCAGGGGCTGGGGATTTAGCTCAGTGGCATAAGCACCTGCCTTGCAAGCAGGTGGTCGTGAGTTTGATTCCTGGTACCGATAAAAAAGAAAAAGACAAAAAAACAAAAACAAAAACAAAACAAACAAACAAAATGCCGCCACACCCAGCCCCCAAGCTTCAGTACCCTGCGCCTGTCTTCCTCTCCGCAGAGCAGGGCCACAGAACCAGGGCTCAGATCTCAGTCCCATCATTTCCTGGCCATGTGACCTCAGTTTCATGGAAAATGGGGAGATGCTAGTAACCGTCTCCTAGGGTTGCTCGGAGATTTAAAGAAGTAAAACCCTGAACCAGAGTGGTGGTGGTATCCACTTGTAATTTCTTCACTCAGGAAGCTGAGGCAGGAGGATGCCCATGAGTTTGAGGCCAGCCTCAGCTCTGAAGCAAGCACAAGGCCAGCTTGAACTACACAGTGAGACCTTGCCTCAAAAAACCAAAAAAAAAAAAAAAAAGTCCACCCCACCTCTTGGGGTGTTACAAAGTTACCTCCCAGGCCCCAGTGCAATGAAACGGTAAAACTTAGACCTGTCAGCTTCTTTTTAATCATTTGAGCAAGCCACACAAACTTTCTAAACCCCAGAACACTAAAATTGAAAGCAGAAACTCTGGTATTTGCACACCCAGGTTCACAGCTTCCCTGCTCACAAAAGCTAGATGGTAGAAGTAACCCACGTGTCTATCAGTACAAGAATGGAGTCAAACTGAGGTCCGGCCATGATGGAATACTATACATTCTTAGAACTATAAGAGAATGACGGGTTTGGTTTGGTTTTGAGACAAGCTCTTGCTGTGTAGTCCAGGCTGGCCTTCAGTTTACAGTGATCCTCCTGACTCAACCTCCCCATTGCTGGGATTATGGGCATAAGCCACTCTGCTGGCTCAGTAAGTCCAAGTCTTTATGCCAGGACTGTCTGAAGCTCCGGGCCGGACCCCCCATGTGCCCTGGTCACTATTTGGGTTAGTTGAATTCTTGTTTCTGCCTGGCTGTCCCTCCCTCTAGGATTCCCTTTTCTGCCTTGAGCACAGTTGATCCAAAGAAATTCTGTGTTTCCTATCCCATGGATCTACCCTGACCTGCTTCCATTCGCTTCTGGGATTTCTGGTTTCAACAGCAGTAAGACCAAACCACACATCTCTGACCCGCCTGGACCCTTGTGGGCTCGGCCTTGCACGGCCTGTCTTTCCCCGGGGAGCTGCCAGAGGGCGCGCGTGAGCGCCTGTGGCTCCCTTTTGGTAAAGTCAAAACCCTCTAGTGCGTGTCCCACCCAGACCTCAAAGGCCACTGCTAGGGGACCCTCTGTAAAGAAAAACTGGCTGACCACTTCCTTGATCTATGAAGTTGCTGGGTCACATAGCTCTAATTTTGTAATCATATATATATATGGGGGTTTTGTTTGTTTGTTTGTTTACCGGTACCAGGGATCGAACTCACGACCACACGCTTGCAAGGCAGGTGCTTATGCTGCTGAGCTAAATCCCCAGTCATATATATTTTTTAACCAAATATATATTTAACCCCCCCCAAAAAAATATATATATATATATTACAACGGCTAAGGCTATCCCACACTATATAGACCCAGCATTTATAGCACACTGTGACAGGGGAAGAGAACATCTCTCTAAAATGGGAGTTTTGCTGACCATGGTGGCACACGCCGGTCATCCCACTACTCGTGAGGCTGAAGCAGGAGTATCCCCACAAGTTGCAAGTTCAGAGCCAACCTGAGCTACACATGAGTTCAAGACCAGTCAGAACTACATAGCGAGGTACATAGGGAGACCCAATCTCAATAAATAAACAGTAAACAAGAGGTTTGAGCTGGGCGTGGTGGCTCACGCCTGTCATCCCAGCACTTGGGAGGCTGAGGCAGGAGGATTCTCGAAAGTTCAAGGCCAGCCTGGGCTAGATAGTAAGATCTTATCTCAAAAAACAGAAAGAGAGGGGTCACAACTCCATTCCCAAGTGGGAACTCAGGAGGAACGTGAAGCTGACGTCCTTGAGACCAAACATGAACCGAGCAGAGGGCCGGCGTGAATCAAAGCGTGGCAAGGTTTCCACGAAGGAACCCAAGCTCCACAAGACGCCGCCAGGTAGCTGTGAACCCTCTGTCACCATTCTGAGAGTCAACAGCACCTCAGTCCTCTGCAGGGGACAACCCTGTCACTTGATTTCCCCTGGGATGTCTAGAGCTGACCCCCGGCCCAGACCAAGTCCAGTTCCCTGACTCTGGGCTCTTCTAGCCGTCCATTGCGGGCCACCAGTGGGCCACGCTAAGGGAGCAAAGCGGCCACTCACCGCAGAGACGGCAAACAGGGAGTTGTCGAAGCACATGTCTGAAACAGAGAGGACAGTCAGAGGGACGGCTTTCGCTTTCCTGCCCAGCATCCTCGTCCCTCCCGCCCAGCTGCAGGCTGAGGTGAGGCTGCGCTGACCCGTTCATTCCCTTTGGACCTTCTCACATCCCTGGGTAAGACAGGTGCCCATCCAGTCCTCTCTCCTGAAGGGCCCCCCAACTTGCTCGATCTCCCCTGCTTCACTCAGCCATGCCCACCTCTTCAGACAGTCTTAAAGTGTAGTTTAGGACTCAACTTCTGCCTGTCCTCCTGCCCCAGCCTCCTGAGTGCTAGGATTACAGGTCACGCCGCTGTGTGCAGCCTACTCAGCTACTATTCCAAGAGTCTTCTTATTTTTACCGCCACCACCCCTGGGGGCTGCCTGCACCCCCACCTGCTGGCCCCACCCCTGTATCTCCACTTGTGGACAGAAACCACAGCTGTCCTGTCACCTTGCGATCCTCCCAGACCTCAGCATAGTAAGTGCTCAGTAAACGTGTTGGACCCGGTGTGGTGGTGCACAGCACTCTGGAAGGCTGAGGCAGGAGGATGGCAAATTCAAACGCAGTGTGGCCAGTTTACCAGCTCAACGAGAGCCTATGTCAAAATAAAAATATAAAACTTGCTGGGAGGGAGCTGGGGATTTAGCTCAGCGGCATAAGCGCCTGCCTTGCAAGCAGGCAGTCGTGAGTTCGATCTCGGGTACCGATAAAAAGGAAAAAGACAAAAAAAAAAAAAAAAAAAGAACAACTTGCTGGGGAGTCCCCAGGCTCAACAAAAATGAATAAATGAGGACTGAGTTTTTGCCTTTTGTTGTTGTTGTTGTTGTTTTTAAGACGTGGGGGCTGGGGATTTAGCTCAGCAGCATAAGTACCTGCCTTGCAAGCAGGCTGTCGTGAGTTCGATCCCCGGTACCAATTAAAAAAAAAAAAGATTAGGAAGAATTTATTGAGAGAAAGTTAGCCTCTGTCTGAGAGGGACAGAAGGGGCTCAGAAAGTGGGTTACCCACCAGCAACCCCACTTCTCAAGGCTATTTTACTGAGTAAATCCATGAGGGGAGGCAGGTTTAAGGTGGCACAGAACTATAGTCAGTCAAAATGATTACAGGCACGGTCGCTTAGGTAATATTAATCCAGTGGGAAATCACCAGGGAGGCATCGGGTGAGACAAGACCATGGTCTTGTTTTTTTTGGTACCGGGCCCGAATTCATGACTGCCTGCTTGCAAGGCAGGCGCTTATGCAGCTGAGCTAAATCCCCAGCCCCCATAGTCTTGCTTTTTTATTTTATAATTTTTGTTGTTTTGTTTAGACAGGGCTCATTATGTAGGTCAGGCTGCGCTCAAACTCACAGTGATCCTCCTGCCTCAGCCTCCCGAGTGCTGGAATTACAGGTATGCACCGCCATGACTGGCTAGGAAGAGGATACTTTTTTGGCCCCCTGTGTAACCACCACCTCAAAACGGATCCAAGTAGCGAATAGTAAAACTCATTAATTTTTTTTTATTTTTGCTGTTGGGATTGAACCCAGGGCCTTGACACTGATCTACATCTTTTTTTTTGGCACCAGGAATGGAACTCAGGACTTTGCTTGCCAGACTTGTGCCACCACATCCCCGGCACCAGGCCTTTTCCAGCTCTGAGTCTCTGAGCGGCCCAGGGCGGGGCTGGAACTTGCGGTCTCCTGCCTCAGCCTCCTCCCGGACTGCAGGGACGGCGGAAGTGGGTTCCCAGCCTGACCCCCGCGGGCGGGGTCGGCAGCAAGGAGGCACAAACCTGTGTTGTCGTAGTTGATCTGCACCCAGCACGATTCCTGCTCTCTGGGGGGAAAGGGCAGAAGAAAGGGTGCCCATGAGATGGGATCGGGGTGCCAGGCCACCCTGCGTGAGCCCACATGTTCTCCCCGCAAGCTGCCTGATGGCACGGAAGCCACCAAGGTGCAGTCCTGGGCTCTCCGGACACTGGTGTAGGCTGAGCACTGCACAACCCCGGGGAAGCCAGGATATCCACTCGGTCGTCTCCAGTGACTGCGACGACTTCCTGACAGCTCCAGGGAGGAGGGTTGGGAGGGCTGATCACCAGCTGCGACGGGAAAGCGACCCAGCGCCGAGCCAAGCACACAGTGGGCGCTTTAACAAACAGCACCGGTCCCTGTTCTCCATCCTCCACCAGGGGGCGCTCACCCGCCAAGAAGCGCCCTGCCGTCCCCAAGCCACCCTGCCAGTGTCCCCGGGGCTCACCGCCTCTTCTGTAAATTCTTGACTTTAACTGCAAGGGAACAGAGAACCATCTGTGAGGCTTTGATTTTCATGAGAGCTGCTGTAAACAAATGATTTTATTTCTTTTTCCTCTCTGTCATCTCACTAGGTCCCACCAGGCTAGTCTCAGAGTCCAAGTCTTCCTGCCTCAGCCTCCTGAGTACCTGGGATTACATGGATTCATTACTGCATCTGGTCCTGATTTTTTTCATTTATTTGTTTGTTTAATTTTTTGAGACAGGGTCTCACTATGTAGTCCAGGCTGGACCTGAACTCAGAAATCCTTCTGCCTCAGCCTCCCAAGTGCTGAGATTACAGACATGCAACCACATCCGGCTTCATTTTATTTTTCAGTTGATAAAAACTTTAAGAAAGGGTCGGGGATATAGCTCAGCGGAACAGTCATGAGTTTCATTCCCGGTATTGAAAAATAAACTTTAATCAAGATATACGTGTATACGTGTAGGGGCTGGGGATTTAGCTCAGCGGCATAAGCACCTCCCTTGCAAGCCGGCGGTCATGAGTTCGATTCCCGGTGCCAGAAAAACGGAAAAAAAAAAAAAAAGATATATGTGTAGAAAAAAGGATATGTGTGTAGAAAAGTGTTTTTCTTTTAAAAATACGCATTTCTGGGCCGGGGGTTTAATTCAGCGGCGTAAGTGCCTGGCTGGCAAACGTGAGGTCATGAGTTCGATCCCTGGCACCAAAAAAAAAAAAAACATTTCACTGGTTGCTGGGAGGTAAGGATGGAGGAGGGAATTAGAAGTTATTGCTTAATGTAGACCGAGTTTCAACTGAAAATGATGAAACAAATTCTAGGTGGATGATGTGATGGTTTCACAATACCGTGAATGCATGTGTGCGCCGTGGGCCTTTTACTAAGTAACAAACATGTCCGGCTCCCCCGGGATCTGTCTATGAGGGTTAGTTTAAGGGTTTCTCCCTGAGACTGAAATCCAGGTATGCTCAGATCTTTTACATAAAAAAACGCTGAGGCAGAAGGATCATAGTTTAAACCAGCCTGGGCAACATGGTTAAGACCCTGTCTTACAATAAAAGTGTTCTTAAAAATAGAAAATGATTAGGAATGCAGCTCAGTGCAAAGGTCCTGGATTCAGTCCTCAATAGCACCAAAAGAAAGAGCTGCTGTACTATAAACGATGAGGAAAAAACTTTATACATGTTCAGTATGGATAAACACACACAAAATTTTGTCTCCCCGTATCCCAGGTTGGCCTTGAAATCGTGGCAATCCTCCTGCCTCAGCCTCCCCATTGCTGGGATTGCAAGCGTGTGCCACCATGCTCAGCCAAGGACTTGAGTGTCTGTGGGGAGTCCTGGATACAGTTTCCACGGATATCAAGGGATGGGTTTGTCTGGGTGCCCGCCACCGCCACCTGGCTCTGGACCAGCTTCTGCCCCTAAGTTCTGGGGTAAAACCCGGGCCACGGCCCTGCGCGCCTAGAGAAAACGGTGTGCGCACGCTCTGTGTCTTCTGCATGCTGTTACCTTTCCTGACCACCACGGCAAAGACCACGAGCACAACGAGGAGGAAGCAGGCTCCAGCCAGGCTGAGGGAGAGCGTCAGGATCCAAGTGGGCACTAGGGGAAACCCGGAAAGCCAATGTCACCTGGGAGGGTCCATCGCTCTACACAGACCCCCAAATCTGGGCTCCCGCGGCTGACCCCCCGGCACCTAGCAACCTTGCATCAGGTCAATTAGCATATTCCCTCCCTCGGCCAATGTGATTGGTTCAGACTTGGGCATGTAACCCTGGCAGAGCCAATGGAAACTGACTCTGGGACTTTAGCTGGGCCAATGGAAAAAGAGGTTTATTCCTCTGAATAACTAGCACTCTACCCAGAGCTGATGCTGGACTTAATTTTGTCAGGCTTTTTTTCTCTGTGGAAGACTCGGTTTTTTCTCTCAGGACACAGAGGAGATCTTTTGGAGCACCAAGGAGGAGACCTCTGGCCCCAGTCAAGTACAGAGCCACTGAGCCAGGAAGGGAAGGAGCGCGTTTGGTGTTCTCACAAAGCCTGGCCTTGTTCATTCATTCACAGGGCAGCGGGGTTGGGTCGCCTCTGCCACCGACCGCAAGGCCAAGGTGGAGAAGGGAGCCTTTGACACAGGCGCTGGAGGCCTGCAGGACACAGAGGCGGCTGTCATCACGGCCAGCGGACTGTGGTTGCCCACAAGGTGCACTTGGCAGCGGGTGACGTCAGCAGGCGAGAGGCTCCCTTCACAGCTTATTTTTTTTTTCATTTATTTTTTATTTTCCGGATATTGAGAATTGAACTCAGGATCGCACACGTGCCAGGCAGGAGCTACATCCCTGGCCCCACCTTTTATTAGAAACATGACTTGCTATGTAGCCCAGGCTGACCTTCACTTCATGATCCTGGACTCCTGGGCTCCAGCGATTCTCCTGCCTCAGCCCCCTGAGAAGTTGGGACTGTAGGTGTGCACCACCATCCCTAACTTCATTCAAACTTTTGCTTCAATGTTAGGATACCTCTGACCCCCGGTGTGGTGGCACACGCCTTTAAACCCAGCACTCTGGTCACCTGAGGCAGGAGGACCACAGGTTCAAGCACACCCTGGCAGCTAAGCAAGATCCTGACTCCAAATTAAAATAGAGGATGGGATGTGACTCAAGTGAGGGTTCTGGGTCCAAGCTCCAGTACTAAAAAGAGAAAGAGAAAGAGAAACAGAGGGCCAGAGGACTTCCCCGTCCTTCTCACCCTCCACTTAAAAATACTGCCCTCCGGGGCCAGGAATTTAGCTCAGCAGCTCAAGCACCTGCCTGGAAAGCGTGAGGTGCTGAGTTTGATCCCCGGTACCACAACCAAACAAACAAACTAACAAGCAAACAGAAGATCGCACTCCACCAGGCCGAGTGTCTCCTCTGGGCTCTCATCTGACAGGCTGAATATTTACTGGTCCCCTGTTTGTCATCTGTCCCCACCTCTGAGACGTCAGCTGCAGGCGGGTGCTGTCTGTTTCACTCACTGCTGAGCCCACGGTGCCCAGGACAGTACCTGGCACATCACAGGTGCCAAAAATTGTATGTAGCGTTTGGTTCCTGGGCCTGAGGCCAATGGCTCTGCTGTCTGTTAGCTGGGGCCTGGAAAAGCCCTTGAAGGTTCCCTTTTTTCCTTTCTTTCTTCAGTCCTGGGTCCTGCACCAGGGCCTTTGCACGGAGCTCCACCCCATCCCTTTTTATTTCACTCTGAGACAGGGTCTCGCTGACTTTCTCAGGTGCCCAGGCCGGGCTGGAAGCTGGGATCCCCCTGCCTCAGCCTCCCAGAGCACTGAGTTACAAGGCTGCACCATATCAGCTCTTTTTCCTTAACTCCCGGGTGGCTACCCAGGAAAAGGGAGTGAGTGAACCAGGTCTTCCCAGAAAGCTGTCCCCGCAGGGAGGTGGCCCTGGGGACCTACCTGGGAAGGAGACCTGCACCGGCTGGCTGAGGTCCGACAGCTGCGGCTGACTGTCCTCGCCCGTCACGCCGTACTGGCAGCAGAACTGCCAGCTGGGAGCCTCGATGCCCGTGCTGCCACTGACGTTGAAGGTGACCCCTGCCTCACCTGCAGGGGCCTGCAGGAGCTGGACCACGTGTCCCCCTCGGTACAGGGTGAAGTTCGCCCCCAGGAAAGTCGCAGGGGCCGTGCAGGAGATGTGGATGGGGTCCTCCTGGCTGCTGGGGTAGGGGGGCACCAGGAGGATGGACGGCGCTGGGATGGCCAAGGAGCCTGCGGGCAGGGCAAGGGCAGCTGAGCGGGGCTCCGGGCACAGCCGCAGTGCAGCGCTCCAGGAGGCTGAGGCAGGAGGACCGCACGGCAGAGACCGATCTGGGTAACTCAGCCAAGCAGCCAGACTTTTTCTCAATGTAAAAAGGGGTTCAGGGCTGGGGGTTTAGCTCAGCGGTGTAAGTGCCTGCTTGGCAAACGTGAGGTCGTGAGCTCAATCTCCAGTACCAAAAGGAAATAAATAAAAGTGGGTTGAGGTTGGGGGATACAGTTCAGTGTGCTCTGCGTTCAATCTCCAGGACCACAAACAAGAAGAAAGCAAGCAAGAAAGAAAGAAAGAAAAAAGAAAAAAGAAAAAAGAAGTTTAGAAAGAAAGAAAAAAGAAACCAGAAAAGTTGAGGCGCCAGGGATGCAGTTCAGCGGCACAAGCGCTTGCTGCCAGCCCGAGGTCACGGGCTCAGTCCCTCGTACCAACAAGCAGAAAGAAGAAGAAGAGCTGGGTGTGGCGGCGCACGCCCACAGCCCCCGCACTCCAGAGGCTGAGGCAGGAGGGTCGTCGTGAGTTCCAGACCAGCCTGGGCGAGACGTGAGCTGACAGCCAGCCTGAGCTGCACAGCAAGACCTTGTCTTGAGAAAAAAAAAGAAAAGAAAAGAAGAAGAAGAAGAGGAGGAGGGAAAACATGCAGCAGAAGCCAGGAGGCTGCGTCCCTTGGCCCGGCTGTGCCACAGAAACGTGCCCGCTTCCTACAGGAGCGGCCCTGCCCCGGGAACCGGCTTGTCGCTGCCTGGGAGCTCTGCGCACAGCGCATCACAGGCAGATGAACCCCAGCCTCTGTGCGCACCCCATGTCCCTGAAGGAGCACACCGGGAGCCCGCGCAGCCCAGGGGCTGAGAGGCAGCACGGTGACACTGGGTGACTGAAGGTTCCGACCCACAAAGGCCGGGCCATTGCCATCCGCCCCGCCCCGGGGCCTCCATCACCTGGGAAGCAGCCCCCACCTTGGCCAGGGCCCAGGCTGGGGTCCCCCCACCTCCAGGCAGTTGTCACACTCACCGGCTGCGAGGAGCAGGATGGCCCAGGGCATCTCTCCTAGCGTCCTCAGGCTGGGCGCTGGCCGGGGCCAGAAGGGTCCAGGGCCGCCCACCGACTCCTCCTGTGAGGCGAGAGAGGAGAAAAGAGAAGCAGGCTTGGAGCCCAGCGTTTCCTCAGGGGCAGGAAGTTGCACTCACACCCCGGGCACCCCAGCCTCTGGCCTCCCCCACCCCTTCCCTAAATGCAAACCTCGCCCTCCGCCTCTCCGAAGCACCGCAGGCTGGGCTGAGGGAGGTGCATGAGGTGCACGGTCTGCTTTCTCCTCCACCCACCAGAATTCCTGGCACTGGAGGTCGCCCCGAGTGAGGGCTCTCCCCCCTGCACACCTCCTGTCATCTCAGCCCAGGGGAGGCTGAGGCAGGAGGACTGCTAGGAGTTTGAGCTTGAAGCCTGTCAGCCTAGGCTACACAGTGAGCTCAAGGCCAGCCTGAACTACGTAGCGAAACCCTGTCTTTAAAAAAAAAAAATAAAGAAAGAGAAACCTATGCCAGATTAGCAACCCACAGTCTGACCAGTGCTAAAACTGAAACCAATTTAAAACAGCATGGTGACCAGGGCTTGGTCTCTGTGACCTCAGGCAGGACTTGACTTCTTGGAAACATCAGCTAGTGCTCTGGAGAAGGAGCTTAGAGACAAAGAAACCAGGTACAAGACGCCATGTCAACAGAAGCAAAATGGGACATGCCTGATCCCAGTACTTGGGAGGCTGAGGCAAGGGGACGCAGTGTTTGAGTGCTGCTTGGACAACTTAACAACTTAGTAAAACCCTATCTCACAAAAAACAAAGCAAAATGAAACTGCTCAGTAGGTTATGAGTACTTCTAATTGGCAGCGACAGGGAAGAAAGGGAACAGCAGGTCTATATTTGAAGAAATCATAGTTTTCAGGATAAATTGCAGGGAAATGGCCCAGAAACTCCCATACTTCTGTCTCAGGGGGAGGTTTGCTTTCATTTGGGTAAATGTTTCTGTTCAAGCCAAGCTGGGCCCTTGGGGCTCCCTGCTGGGAAGGCTGGAGCTACGCTCACTGAGAAACAGGAGCAGCACGCTTGGGAACTGCTTCCCCTGGCAAATCTCATTCCAGCCACAGGGCCTTTGTGCATGCTCTTCTGCTTACCTGAGACATGGCTCCATCAACCTGGTTAAATCCTACTTCTCCTTTAGGTTGCAGTTTAAATATCAATTCTAGGAAACCTTGCCAAACCTCTCTGAACTCCACTCCCAGCTCCATTCTCCCAGAGTCTTAAAAATTGTGTTTGTTGCATTTAGCATGTGTTTATGTTTTTATTATTCCTTTGTACAGGATCTCACTGTGTAGTTCAGGGTACCTTCAATTCGCTATATGTAGCCCAGGCTGGCCTGGAACTCACAGCGATCCTCCTGCCTCAGCCTCCCGAGTGCTGGGATGACAGGCATGCACCACCACATCTGGCTGAGCATGTGTATTTTTAAAGAAATTTGCCTGTTTCATTTCATCCAGTTTGTTGAATGAATGCAGTTTTGCTCATATCCCTTAGTCTTCTGCTTCTGTTGCGTCTGTACTGATGCCCGTTACTGCACTCTTCACGGTGGTAAATTGTTTTTTTCTGTCTTCATGATTAGTCTTCCTAGGATTAATGAATTTTATTCATATTATTATATTTTCTGTGTGTAGTACTGGGGATTGATTCCAGGGGCATCATACTAATCTACGATCCCAGTGGTTTTCTTATTTTTCAACACAGGGTCTCACTGGGCCAGGGATTTAGCTCATTGGTATAAGTGCCTGCCTGGCAAGCAGGAAGCTGTGAGTTAGATCCCAGTACAAAAAAAAAAAAAAAAAAGGCAGAGTCTTGCTATGTAGCCCAGGGCGGCCTCAGAGTCTAGCAATCCTCCTGCCTCAGCCTCCTGAGTGCTGGATTACAGGTGTGTGGCACTGTACCTGGCTAAGTTCTATTTTTTCTTTTTCTTTCATTTAGTTATCTGGTATATAACTGGTTGTTCCTTTTCCTAGCTTTTTTCTGTTTTTTTTTTTGTCTTTTTCATTTTTATCGGTACCGGGGATTGAACTCACGACCGCCTGCTTGCAAGGCAGGTGCTTATGCCGCTGAGCTAAACCCCCAGCCCTTTTTTCTGTTTTTTGAGACAGGGTCTCTCTATGGGCCCAGGTTGCCCTGAACCTTGTGGTGATCCTCCTGCGTCAGCCTCCACAGGCAGCCCTTTCCTAGCCTCTTAAGACAGGAGGTTAGGTCATTCATCTTAAACCGCTCCAGCTAGCATAAGGGTTTAAAGCTATACATTTCCTGGTAAGCATTGGTTTAATTGGATCACATTTTTTGTGGTTTTGTGCTCCTGGGTCGTTGGTAGACGTAGGCATATTCCTTTATGAATTGTTCTATGACTTAGAGACTGTTTAGGAATACGTGGCTTACTTCTGAAATATCTAGATTTTTGTTTTGTTTTGTTTTTCAGGCACTGTGGATGTTCCTAGGGGCTTCACGTTGAGCTATAGACCAAGCCCAGTTTTTATTTATTTATTTATTTATTGTCTTTTTGAGGTGGGGTCTCGCTATGCAGTTCAGGCTGGCCTTGAGCTCACGTTGTAGCCCAGGCTGGTCTCAAATTTGCAGCGATCCTCCTGCCTCAGCCTCCCGAGCACTGGGATTACAGGCGTGAGCCACCACACCTGGCTTCAGTTTTTATTTATTTTGAGAGGTAGGGTCTCATCAAGGTAGGAGAGATTCATGTTTTGAGCAAACAGTGGTCATACAGGCCTAGAATCCCAGCACTATGGGAGGCTGAGGCAGGAGGGTTACAAATTCCAACCCAACCTGGGCAACTTAGTGGGATTCTTCCTCAAAACAAAACATGAAAAGGAACTGGAGGTGTTGGGGCTGTAGCTTAGTGTTAACACCTTGGGCGCAATCACCCTAAAAACAAAACAAAACAAAAGCATCTCCCAAAGAAAAGGGAGAAGAAGAGAGACACAGAGGATTTTCTGTTTACTCCCTGCACCAACTGCTGTGGTAAGTGCAGCGGCTGCTGCCCACGTGTGTAGGGGCCGGGCAGGCGAACGTTCTGGGGGCTCCCAGCTGCAGCGGGTTCAAACGGGGCAGCCCGGAGGAGGTTTTGACAGCAGGAGTCTGAGGGGGAGCCTGGAGGGCATCGCAGGTGGAGGGAAGAATACTCTAGAAAGGCCCCCGGTCTTGGGGAGGCTTCACCCTGCGATTCCCTCCCCTCTCCTTCCCCGCTAAGTTCTCTGTTTTGGCGGTGGTGTGGATGGAGCCCAGGGCCCTGCAGGGAGCCTCACACAGCTCTTTTTATTTTTGAGACAAGGTCTCACAAAGTGGCCCAAATTTGGCTCAGATTTGTGATCCTTTTGCCGCACCTCCCCAGAGTGTGGGATTAAAAGTGTGGGCCATCTTGCCCGTCTAAATCTCAAATTAAAAAAAAAAATACTGTTTTGAGACAGTCTTCACTCTTATTCATGGTGGCCTTGAACTATGTAGCCCAGGCTGGCCTCAGACCTGCAGTGATCCTCCTGCCTCAGCCTCCTGAGTGCTGGGATTATAGGGGTGCACCACCATGCCCAAGTTAAATCTAAGTGTATTTATTTATTTTGCCACTAAGGATTGAACTCACGACTCGAGCTTACCAGGTAGGCACTGTGCTGCTGAGCTAAATACCCAGTCCTCTTAAATCTCATTTTAAATGTCACTTCCTCCGAGGAGCCTTCTCTGATTCCATCAGGGCTGAATCACCTACACTGTTACCATCCATTGATTCCCGAGAGTGGGCAACGCCAAAATCCTTTTGGTGCTAAGCTTGCTCCTGCATAGTTTGGTCTCCACGCTGGAGCAGCATGCTGTTCCGTGAAGACATGGGCAGCGTTGATTTTATTCAGATGCTTGGTAAGTATTTGTTGAGCCAGACATACATTACTGCACATACCTGTAATACCAGCACTCAGGAGGCTGAGGAGGAGGTTCAGCATGTGTGAGAGGCCAGCCTGGCTTACACAGTGTGTTCAAGGCCAGCCTGAACTATATATAGTGAGACTCTGTCTTTAAAAAAAGAGGAAAAAAAACTATAAAGGGTAATCTTAAAATTGATACAGAAACACAAAAGCCCCAGAACAGCCAAATCAATCCTGAGCAGAAGACAGCATAATATCTGACTTCCAATTATACTACAAAGCCATAGTAACAAAAACAGCATGGTACGAGCAAAGAACTAGACATATGGCCCATTGGCATAGAGTGGCAGATGAAGAAAGAAACCCATACCACTGTAGCCATCTGATTCTGAAAGGTGTGGCCTAACAGAGATGCTGGAGAAGGGACGGTCACTTCAACAATGGTGCTGGGAAGACTGGACAGCCATCTGTGGAGGAATGGAACTGGACACTTCCTCTCACCCTGTAAAAAAATGGATTTCAGAGACCGAAGCATAAGATCTGAGATGTTGCGACTGCCAGAAGAAAACATACAGGAAATACCTTGAAGCCATAGGCACAGGCAAAGACTTCCTGGCTAGGACTTGAATAGCACAGGAAATAATAGGAAGAGTCAACAACTGAGATCACATCAAATTAAAAGGTTCCTGTGTGGCAGCGGGAAAAAATAACCCAGCAGAGAGAAGAGACAGTTTCCTCAATGGGAGAAAATCTTTGCCAGCTACTGTTAAGACACAGGGTTGGGGCTGGGGTTTAGCTCAGCGGCATAAGCACCTGCCTTGCAAGCAGGCAGTCGTGAGTTCGATCCCCGGTACCGATAAAAATGAAAAAGACAAAAAAAAAAAAAAAAAAAAAAGACACAGGGTTAATATCTAGAATATACGAAGAACCCAAAGAACTTAACCCCACCCTGGCAGAAGAGCACATAGCTGACACTCCACCCTGAGAGACTGAGGCAGGACTGAGTTTGAGTACAGATCAGGCAACTTAGTGACTGAGACACTGTCTCAAAAGAAATGAGTAATAATAATGGGTGAGGAGGCACAGGCCTGTTATCCCAGGACTTGTGAGGCTGAGGCGGGAACATCTCCTCGGGTTTGAGGCCAGCATGGGTTACACAATGAGTTTAAGGCCCGCCTGAGCTACAGAGCAAGAGCCTGTCTCCAAAACAAAAAAGACAGCAAGAGCCTGTCTCCACAGCAAAAAAGCAAACCAAATGACAATGATGATCAAGGTCTGGGGATGTTGCTCAGCGTGAAGGTCCCAGGTTCAGTTCCAGGAGTGCAAAAACAAAACACCCCAAAAGACCAAAAAATAAAAATTTATTACAACAACACATGGATATAGAGACAGAGATACGGATCTGATTCTGGACAGTGTGGCCTAACAGAGATGTCTGCATCTATATATAAAACTGTCCAAGGTCTTTAACCATCAGGGAGACGCAGGGCAATACAGGACTGGGACTGTGCTCATCTCAGAATGCCCTCATCAAGTGTGGAAAACAGACTGCTGCGGAGCGGGTGGGGAAGAGCGATTCTGTGACTCATGTAAATAAGAACTAATATGATCACTATGGAAATCAGAATGAAAGTTCCCCCAAAGACTAAAAATAGCCAGGCATGTGGACACATACTCATCCCAGCACTCGGGAGGCTGAGGCAGGAAGGTCACTGTGAGTTCAGGCCAGCCTGGGCTACATAATGAGTTCAAAGCCAGGCTAATCTACACAGAAAGGCCCTGTTTCAGGAAATCAAAAAAAAGAAACCAACAAAAGACTAAAAACAGAACTAACATAGGACCATGCCTTGGTATTAGAGTCTGTGTAGCCCGCTCCCGGAGATTCTCCTGCCTCAGCTTCCCACGCGGTGGCATTATAGCTATGTGGCATCACGCCCAGCACACTAGAAGAAGTTAAAGTTGGCACACTAGAGGGGATGCATGTGTGCCCACGCCGATGGTCCGTGGACGAGTGGATGGGGAAAATACTGTGGTCTACCACGCAGTGTTGTCCAGGGTGAGGTTGGGCATTTGTGCAAAAATGGGTGGGACTGGAGACCATCATGTTAGAGAACCAAGCCAGACTTAGAAAAGATGCGGGCCACATGTCTTCCCCATTATGTGAACTGTAACACAAAGGGAGGCCCATCCGACAAAATGTAGGACCAACGGGGAGCCTTGAGAGGGTGTAAAAGAAAGTAACGGGGGACAGACATGAGCAAGCGAAGTCACACGCGTGAAAACACCTCTCTGAAGACCAATTTTTTTGGGGGGGTACCGGGGATTGAACTCATGACTTCATGTTTGCCAAGCAGGCACTTAAGCTGCTGAGCTACACCCCCGGCCTGAAGACCAATGTTTCATAAAATTAAAAGGTATTGCGGAGTTCAGAATACATAGGGAGGGTCAGGGGTTTAGCTTAGCAGTGTAAGCACTTACCTGGCAGGTGTGAAGTCGTGAGTTCAATCCTCTGTATCAAAAGAAAAAAAAAATCTTGCCAAAATCCATAGAGAGACCCTGTCTTGTCTTGTCTTTCTTTCTTTCTTTCTTTCTTTCTTTCTTTCTTTCTTTCTTTCTTTTTTTTTTTGTCTTTTTGAGACAGGGTCTGGGTATGCAGCTCAGGCTGGTCCCAAATTTGAAATGATCCTCCTGCCTCAGCCTCCCAATGGCTGGGATTACAGGCATGAGCCAGCACACCTGGTGAGATCCTGTCTTTTAAAAAGACACTAATACCTGGCAAGTGTGAAGTTCTCAGTTTGATTCCTGGTACCGAAAGAAAAACGGCACTAATAAAAATATATTTTATATTTTAAACATGTCATCCCAGCATTTGGGAGCCTGAGGCAGGAGGAGCGCTGTGAGTTTGAGGCCAGCCTGGACTCCATTGTATGGACAATAAATATATCCAGAGGGCCAGAAAGCAAAGCGGTGACTCCCGGAGCGGCCACTGAGGACTGCTCAGAGGGTACAGGACCTCTTTGCGGGCTGATGGAAATGCTTTGGAGCTACATCAGAATGGAGGTCACACAACGTCAGTCTACTAAAGGTCACAGAATAGGTCTCGTGGATAGTTAACCTTAAATAGTGCGAACTTTACCCCGTTTTAAAGAATACATTAAAAACAGGAGAAAATATTCTCTGTACTACTCCAAAACAGCCAGGTAGCGTATATAAGTGAAAGATAAACGGGGCAAAAAAATGTACGTATGACTTTTCACATTACAAAGCAGTGTTACTTCCGAGATTTGCAAATGGAGAAAATACCTCACAGCCACCAGCTGCAGCTGAGAGTAATTGTCACAGCTGCCCAGCTCCTCGGGTCCATGAAGGCCAGAGCTCCATCTGAGCATCCTTTTTTCTTATGCTTAGACGGCATCAGAATCTATTTATCAATGCCTTGTTTACCTGTCGCTCCCCGGAGAAAGACGGGGACATCCCCTGAGCCTGAGCCTGAGCCTCGGAGCCAGACAGAGGCAGACACTAAGTGGGCAGTAAGCCAGGTTCCAGTAAGAGCCCAGCATTTACTTCCTCCCCTATGATACGCCAAACTTACCCGGGTGAAGTAAACACTTAGGCACTATCTGTGCTTACAACCACCCAACGGGCTGGAAGTGTTACTATGTTTGAGCCAGGGCCTGCCAGGCCCTTTAAGCCCTGCAACTCTCCCGCCTCAGCCTCCCAAATACTTGGGCAAGTCACAGGCATGGGCCTCGACACCCAGTAATGCACCAGGAGTATTATTTCACTTGGGGGACGTGGAAACTGAGGCTCAGCGTGTTTCTTTTAATTCTACACCACTTACTATCGTGCTTACTCTAGGCTAAATCTCATCTCGTGCAATTCTCACAGTTGCCATATACAGGGTGAGCGTTCCACTACTTCCAACTTACAGACACCAAAATTGCTAAGAGTGGTGCTCTATGACGCAAAAAGAATGTCAGATCGTGAAGAAACCCACTTCCAGTGACACAGAAAACCCTGGGCCACAGGATCGAGGACTCTAGCCAGATCAGCTGAGCCTTTTTATACTCTAGCCCTACGGGTCGCGCGCTGGGCCAAGCCCAGCCTCATTGCGGACCCCCCCCCCCAACTGTACGCCCACAGGCGCCGTGTACGCTGGGAAAACCGCACGGGGTCGCCTTAGAAGGACCCAAGCGCCTTCGCCTTAGTCGTTTTTACCGTTGCCTGCGAAAAGTGCTTATTTGTGGGACTTATTTTTGATATTTCCCACTACCACCAAACATTGAGACTAGAACGGAAGGTGCTTCGGGAACAAGTCGTGGACGCCGAGCGTTTTAGGTCCAGTAGGCACCCACTCGGGCAGCTCGTGCCCGACGGTTCCTTCTCTCTAGGTTCCACGGCCTCCAGCAGCGGCCGCCAATGGGCTTCGCCCAATAGCTGAGGGGGCAGGGCTAGTCCTTAAAGGAGCCGCAACTTCTGAGCCCACCATAGAGTGACCCGGGTGATGGCGGCCGGCGTGGCCCTAGTCCTTGCCCTTGCCCTGTGGCTACTACTGCCGCCCGTGGGGGTGGGGGTGGGCGGGGCAGGACCTCCTCCGATCCAGGATGGCGAGTTCACGTTTCTGTTGCCCGCGGGTAGGAAGCAATGTTTCTACCAGTCTGCGCCAGCCAACGCAAGCCTCGAGGCCGAGTACCAGGTAAGGGGTCCTGGGCCGCAGAGCTAGCGAGGGCCAGGGGGAGGGGGTTAGGCGTGCACTGAAGCGGGGACTTGGGAGGGACCGCGGTCGCGTGGAGCCTGGGGGCGGAGCTGGGGGGGGTGCTCGGACGGAAGGGGCGGGGCGACCCGTGAGAGCGGAAGGGGCGGGCATAGTAAAAGCGGGACTGGACGGGCACAGCGTGGGGGGCGGGGATACCGGAAGTAAAAGGAACCAATCAGTACGACGGCTGGGATGGGTGTGGCCAGGTTTAAAGGGGCGTGGCCCACAGGCGTGCTTAGAAGTTGGTTTAAAGGAAAAGCGCGGCCCTTCCGGGGCGGTGTCAAGCAAAGGAGCGTTGATCAGGTAAACGTCCGTCCGGGACTTCGGAGGGGGCGGAGCCGGTAAAAGATCCCGCCCAAACCCGTGATGGCGGAGGCAGGACGAGGGCCTTGACAACCGCGCTGTAGCTGGAACGCGACCGGTGGTGGTCTAGGTGTGGGCGCTCGGAGTGGCCCTTACCAGTTTGCGTGGTCTGGGCGAGTTGGCTCAGCCTGGAACTTACCGGGCAGGCGCCCTGGCCTAGCTGTGTCTCCACCCACTCTTACCTGCCCCCAGGTGATCGGAGGTGCGGGGCTGGACGTGGATTTCACGCTGGAGAGCCCTCAGGGTGTGCTGTTGGTCAGTGAGACCCGCAAGGCGGATGGGGTGCACACGTGAGTTCTGCTGCTGCCCGGCCTGGTTGGGTTACAGTCCTGCCCCTCCTCGGCGGCCTCGGGTTACGGCTCTGGCTGCCCCAGAGTTCTTGCTGGCCACCAGGGTGATGTCTGTTGACATCTGGGGTCTCTTATCAGGGTGGAGCCAACGGAGGCGGGGGACTACAGGCTGTGCTTCGACAACTCCTTCAGCACCATCTCGGAGAAGCTGGTGTTCTTTGAGCTCATCTTTGACAGCCTGCAAGATGATGAGGAGGTGGAGGGCTGGGCAGAGGCCGTGGAACCCGAGGAGATGCTGGACGTCAAAATGGAGGACATCAAGGTGTGCCCTCTGATCGCCAGAGCTGGCTGCTCTTTTTGGCTGGAGGCTCCACCTTGGCCCCATCCAGCCTTCCCGGCTAGCAGTGTCCCCAACTTTATATAATGCCTCAGTTCCAGTTTATTTGTAGATGTAAAGCTTAATTTTTGAGACAGGATCACACTGTGTTGCCAGGTTGCCCAGGCTCAAACTTGCAATCCAGCTGCCTCAGCCTCCCAGAGTGCTGCGATGACAGGCATGCGCCACACACTCCTGGTTTGGGTCGTAGCTCATAAATCACCAGTGCATAACCTCTCCCTGAACTAAGTCCTGTGCTCTGATGGTTTTCTTTTCACAGGTGGAGAAACTGAGGCACAGGCTAGCAAAGTAACTCATCCAAGGCCACATAGCTAGCACCTGGCAGAGCTGGTGTTTGAGCTGTGACTGTCCTGCTGCCCAGTACTAAATATGTTCTGTCCACTCATTGACCCTTTTGGTGGGGAGTGCTCAGGATTGAACCCAGAGCCTTCCAGGTGCCCAGCAGACCTACCACTGAGCTACCCTGCAGCCCCTGAGTTTGTTTTTTGAGACGGGATCTTCCTGTGTAGTGCAGGCTGGCCTTGAACTCACGGTGATCCTCCTGCCTCAGCCTCCCGAGTGCTAGCATCACAGGTGTGTGCCACAACGCGTGGCTTAGCATTTCATTTCACAGATGAGGCCCAGAGAGGCTCACTAGCTAGTTCAAGGTCACACAGCCAGGAAGTGGCGTGAGGACTGAGGTGGTCACCCCGGCCTCCCTTCCGCTGCAGGAATCCATCGAGACCATGAGGACCCGGCTGGAGCGCAGCATCCAGCTGCTTACGCTGCTGCGGGCCCTGGAAGCGCGGGACCGCAACCTGCTAGAGGGCAACCTTGAGCGGGTCAACTTCTGGTCAGCGGTCAACGTGGCGGTGCTGCTGCTGGTGGCCGTGCTGCAGCTCTGTACCCTCAAGCGCTTCTTCCAGGACAAGCATTCCATCTGCGCATAGCTCCGCCCGGAGGAGCCCTGAAGATGGAGGGCCACGCACCTGTGCGACGGGCCCCCCGAGCTGTGCAGAGTGCCCCTGCCTTGTAGGCCTGAGCCCCCCTCGAGGGGCAGAAAGTGCGTGCTGCTGCGGCATCAGGGTGTGGCCGAGGTGCTTCCTGGCGCCCCAGACACGTGCCTTCGCTGTTCTTGTGGTTCTGGGGACTGAACCCAGGGCCTTTGCACTGAGCTACGTCCTTAGCCATTTCTGTTTCTTGGGACAGGGTCTTGCTAAGTTACCCAGACAGGGTTTGAACTTGCCATGCCCTGCCTCACCTCCCAGAGTGCTGGGGTGACGGCCCGCTTCCAGGGCCTGGCGTCACCACACCTGGCCTTAGCGCACGTCTTCCAGTGACGTCAGCACTGCCCTGGAAGGGCCAGGGGGTGACTCAGCCCACCCTCCCTGCCGGACTCTCCACACCAGGTACAGCCGGAGGAGCACCCTGCTTGAGGGCTCCTGGCCTGGGCTGGAAGGAGGCGACAGCGGCAGTGTTCTTGCCAGGAGAGTGATTTTATTTGACAGGAAGGGGCCCTAGCTCCTCAGCCCAGTGAGTAGCCAGCTGGGCAGGAGGTCTGCAGACAGCTGCAGGGGGGACCTACAGGACTGTCCATCCTCTTCCTGCCCTCAAGGGTGCCGAGAGGCTGCCTGGCCACACCCCACAGGCAGGAGCCTCAAAGAGAGAGGCTGGTCACGCCTGGGTGCTGCAGTCAATAAATTATGGTCAGAGAAACCAGCACGCCTGGTGATTGGGGCTCAGGGACACCAGCTGGGACAGCTGCCCCCACGAAAGGGACAACCAGGTAGGCGGGAGGGAGGGCTCTCCGCGGAGTTCAGAAGAAAGGTCGGGCAGGAGCTGATGGAGGTGGTCGCCTGGGCACAAAAGAAAAACCAGAGGCAGAGTTCAGCGGTGGCCCGAGCTGGGTCTCTAGCCTGGGGGCCCCCAGCAGGGGAAGGGGCTGGCCCAGGTCCCGCTGTGTCACTTGGAGCTGCCAGGACTGTCCCCAAGTGGAGGCCGAGGGCGTGCGCTCCGTGTGGACATGGACACAGAGGGCCACACAGCAGCTGCGAAGTCCTTCCCTTTATTTAGTTTATTAATAGGGTACAGAGTGCAGGCACTTACAGTGGTCAAACCGAGCCAGGAGTGAGCCAGAGGTCTGCTCAGAGGGGCACCTGGGGTCCCCCCAGCCCCTCAGCTGGCACTGGGGGCCCAGGAGGAGGGGCAGCGCGGGAGTGAGGCCGGCCTGGCAGAGGCTCCAGGCCTGGCGAAGGCACCTCCGGCGGCCGAGGCAGGCTGTGCTCCGGCCGCTTGGTTAATGTGGCCGAGGAAGAATATGTACAACATGGGCCGGGGGAGGGTCCCCCATGAGAACCCCGACAAGGCTGGGGACCCAGAGGCCCTTGGCACCTCAGCCTCCAGATGGCCTGGAGAGACCCTGAGCCAGCCTGGACCCCTCCTTCAGGATGGCACCCGGAGCGCGGTCGCCCAGCTGGCACCTGGGTCACCCCCCAAGTGCAAACCCCAGCACCCCCTGCCCGGGCCTTCGGTCCCTTGCGTGGTGTGTCCAGTGGAACAGGGAGGAGCAGGGCAGCCCCAGAAGCCTGGTCCCAGCATGGGGGCCGGGGTGGCAAGGGGCCCAGGCCCCCCAGAGGGAAGGCCTGACCCTGCGGGTGGGCGGGTGGCCTAGTCGAGCAGCGAGGGCTCGGCCGGGCGGATGATGGTGGGCCGGCTGGGCGCGGCGGGCGGCCTCCTGCTGCAGAGAGAACACAGGCGGGGGACAGTGAGGCCAGTGCCAGGCCCCCACCTGGAGCGCTCCCGGGTGCTGCCAGGGCGCCTGGAGGAAGCCGCCTGTGTGTCCCTGCGTTTGCTCCTGTGTGACCTGGGCAAGTCCTTGTTCTTCTCCGGACCTCAGGGGGGCAGGGGGATGCCAGTGCCGGGGTCCCAAGTGGTAGACAGTGGAGGGGACAAGCCGGGGGCCATGGGATCACCTTGCCACCACTACTGTGTGATTTTGGGCAAAGGACCTGGGCCCTGTAGGTATCAGTTTCCCCATGTCAAGAATGGCCCTCGATGTCCACGTGTGGCCTGGGGTGGGAGGAGGGGCAGGCCCGAGACACGGGCGGTGCGACCTTACCTGGGCACTCCTGGGGGGATGCCGGGGGGCACCCGTGCCGGCCGGGATGGGATCTGTGGTGGGGCTGAGAAGGGGTCGCTGTTGGCAAACACCTGGGGCCCAGGCCGGGACGGGATGGGGGGCGCCGAGAAGGAGGCCGCAGCTCCCACGGGCACAGGAATCAGGGGAGGTCCCGGTGTGGGGCCCCGCACTGCGGGCGGCCGGCCTGGCGGGTGGGCGCTGGACACAGGTCGACGCTGTGGAGTGGGGCTGCGGGGGGCAGGGGAGTGGTGAGTGGGGGGTCCCCACCTCCCAGCCCCTGCCAGCTGAGGGCGCCCCGGCTCACCCCTGCAGGGCACCCTGGGGCTGCAGCAGGGCCACCACCCCAAGAGCCCCGGGCCAGCCCTCTGCCACCACCTCCCACTGTTAGGAGCCCAGGCCGACGCCTCCGTCACTGTGCCTGACCCGTGGGGGCCCCCGTCCCCCACCCTGCGCTGTAGGAAGGTCACCCCGTAGCCAGTGCCCGCTCTGGCTGTCCCTCGGGCGCCCCCACACCTGTGGCTGGCCGCGGTCTGCAGCCACGTGTCATCGACGGGCGGGGGCACGGGCGTGGACACGGTGCTGGTGCTGATGTCGCCGATGATGGTCAGCGCCTCCTTGAGCGCGTGGTACATGCGCAGCATGTCGTCCCGCCGCTGCGCCTGGTCGGCTGACTCCTCCATGAGGCTGCTCTGGTCGGCGGAGGAGTACAGGTAGGCCAGCAGCTCGTGGTGGATGAAGGCCTTGGTCTGGGGACACGGGCGCAGGTCAGCTCCTGAGCCCCCGGCCACCCCAAACACTGCCGCCCTTCGCGCAGGGTGCAGGCTCCGGCCCTGCCGTGCTCCAGGGCACCCCAGGCAGCCGTGCAGCACGCTCAGTCCTGCTGGCCCCCGTCCTCCGCCTGGCTCTCCTCAGTGAGGCTCCTTTCTGCCCGCCCTGCTGCTGGGCCCGGAGACTGGTGGAATTCACGCTGCTCTGCCAGAGCTCTGTCCTCAGCCCTTTTTACATTCATTTATTTAGTGCTGGGGATCAAACTCATGGCCTCGTGCTTGCCAGGCAGGTGCTTACGCCACCAGACGCTAAACCCCCAGCCCTGTATGTTTGTTTCGAGGCAGGGTCTGGCTTAGTCACTAAGCTGACTACGCTGTGTTGACATCTGCCATCCTCGGGGCCGGGATATAGCTCAGTGTCTGCAAAGAGCCTGATTGGCAAGTGCAAGGTTGTGAGTTCAATTTCCAGTACTGAAAGAAGACGACGACGACGAAGAAGAAAAGACTGATCAGTTTACACCTGATGTGGACCAAATATCTCACTGTCTAACAAAAGTCAAGACTGCCATCCTCCTGCCTCAGCTTCCCAGAGTGCTGGAATGACCATGTCCAGCCCTGCTGGAGTTTTCCAAGGCAGGAATAAAAACTGATGGCGAAGGCTGGGTGTGGTGCTGAACACCAGAAATCCCAGCACCTGGGAGGCTGAGGCGGGAGGATCCCTGCAAGTTAGAGCCCAGTCTGGGCTACAGAGTGAGCTCAAGGCCAGCCTGAGCTGCATAGCGGGACCCTGTCTCAGAAAACTAAACCAGCCAGGGACTTGGCTAAGCAGCGTGCACGCTCACCTGGCAAGCACGAGGTCGTGAGTTCGATCCCTGGTACCAAAAAAACCAAAAAACTAAACTAAACCACCACCAGCAGAAGCCCCGGGAGTCCACCTGCAGTGTGGACCCCAGCTCTGGCCTGGGGCTGCCCGGGCGGCAGCGCACACTCACATTGTTGATCATGAGGTGCATGATGGTCTTTGGCATGAGGTCGCGGATGGACTTGTTAATGATGGCCACGTAGGAGTCCACCAGGTTGCGGATGGTCTCCACCTGCCGCTCCAGCTGCGGGTCCATGGAGAAGGTGTCCTGCCCCACATCCTCGTTCTCCGCCTGTCACAGAGAGCGGAAGCCATGAGGGGTGACCCAGCCCTTGGGAACCCTTCTGCTCTGTACGCTCCAGGGGCTTCAGGCTGCCTGGCATTGGACCTGCCTTCGACTAAGGGGCAGCGGGCTCCTCACCTGGTCCTTCTCGGGGTACACGCCAGCACGCAGGAACGAGGCCTTCCAGCTGTCCACGTCCTCCTGGGAGTCACAGGCCAGCTCGATCTGCCGCAGGTCCTTGTAGACGTTCCTGGGGTGGGAGTGAGGGCCCAATCACAGGCCTGGCTCACCGCCAGGGCTCTGGCCGCACAACCAGGGACTCAAGACCAACCTAGGCCCAGGACACCAGCCACCCGCCATCATGCCGAGCACTTGCTGAGAGGTGGCATCTACTGCCCATTAAATAGCAGTGCAAGCTAGGCACGGTGGCACATGTCCATGGTCCCAGGATTTGGGAGGCTGAGGCAGGGGGATTGCCACAAGTTTGAGGCCAGCTTGAACTACATCGTGAGACCCTGTGACAAAACACAAACAGGGCAGCACTGGGCAGGGTGTGGCATCGCAGTACCCAGGGCCTCTGTCTCCCTCAGCTGGCGGACTGCTGAGCCGGGAAAAGCCTGTCCCCACATCAGGCTCCTCAAGGACCCAGACACTAATCTCACGCGCCCTGCTCTGGAGGGGGGCTCCCAGCGAGGGGTCTGCAGGAAGCCAGAGTGGCAATAACCACGTGAACTTCCTGCCACAGCAAGAATGTCCCCTGCCTGCACGGTCTGATGGGGCCGCCACAGGAGGCTTTGGCAAAATCTTGTGTTTTCCAGCACTGGGGACTGAACCCAGCGCTTTCAGGGCGTTTACATGAATTAGACCCCTAGCCCTACTCATCTCCTTAAATTTGAGACAAGGTCTTTCTACGTAATCCAAGCTGGGCTCACACTTGCAACCTCCTGCCTCAGCCTGTCAGAGCGCTGGGATGACAGGCATGCGCCATCACAGCATTTTGATTATTTGATCCCGGTACCAAAAGACTGAAAAACCCTAGGCGGCACTTTGATTAATTTACATGAAATAGCTACAGGTGACCAGTGGCTACGTCACTGTGATCAGAGATCTAGATGGTGGCCTGACTCCTGGGGACAGACAAAGACAGGCTTGGGAAGTGTCAGGCTCACTCGGGTCACAGGGTAGCACTGAGATGCCGTGCCCCAAGGCTAGAAGCAAGATCGGAGGATTCCAGTGTTGTGGGACAGTGTTTGATAGCCAGAGTTCATGGCACACGCCTTGGTGACTGTCCTGTCCCTGGTGGGGCCGAGCTAGTGGAGCTTCCCTCAGAGCCTCCAAGTGAGATGTGGGCTCCTTTTGGTTGCCTGGAATGTCACCACGATGGCTGGCATTTAGGCAGCTCTCTTAGACCAAGAGGCAGAAGCCACGTGTTGGGAAAGGCTGAGGAATAAGAGAGGGGGCTGGGGAAGCTGCCTTGCTGGGGAGTCTGGATTCCATTTATGCAAAACAACGCAACATTTACTTGTTTTCTGACCTTTTCTGAGCTTCTTGACCCCACTTCTAAGAAATACATGGGTAATACCTGGAAGCCCAGGGCCCAGGGGGGTGGGACGGCCAGCCACCAGTGGCAGGAGGAGGCATCGCAGGGGTCCCAAGCCTAGAAAT